AGTGTGTCGCTGGGATTGTTTAGCTGCAGCTCGCACACAAAGGAGAGCACACGGAGGAGTTTGTTATCACACTGCACAAAACACCACGAGACTTTCACATTCACAGCCAGGCATTGTCTCTCAGCTAATCAGAACTATAGAGTGGTGCATTGAAGCAGTTTTGAAGTTAATGGCTTTTTGGTCTGAATTTAGGTTTGTCGTTAACACAAGCTTCAGAGATTAACCCAGTTTATTCCACAACCTAAAAAAAGCATCAATGCACACGTGAAGCCTAAAACGAGGGTAACAGGTTACTAAAGGAGAATACTAAACGTCGTCATGCCAAACCTTTAGCGGTGGTGACGTGAATTCATGCGAACGTGATGTTTATAGCCTAAAGTTAGCTATTAAGAAAAAGTAGGGTTAGTATGTGGAGTTTATCCTGTTGAACAAAACGTGTCAGTATCATAAACGTGAGCTTATTCTCTGCAGTATTCCAAAATCTAATAGAAAAAGTCCCGTTGGCTCTTTTGTCGAGGGAACCACCGGGTCGTCCTACAAAATCGCACATGTGCTGTGAAAGCCACGCAAAGGAGGAGCAGCTCTGTAGTTGTTGATGAAGGATGTTTACAAAAATATGTTTTACACTGGTAATTATGAGTTACCGGGAACGTCTGTCTACCGTAACCATGTCCTGTGTGGTGGAGGTTACCCCACATTTCACTGAGAGCTTTGAGTCTGTGTCTAGCCGAGGGCAGCCATAAAGCTTTGGGAAAACAAGTGTGTTTAGCTGCGCAGATAGCTCTTCTCCCTGTAGATAATCCTGCTGATAGTGTGAGGTGGAGCGGTGAGCTTCACTAACTCACAGCTCATCTGTGTTTGTGCTGGATGAGACATTATTGTTTCCCATTGTCCCAGTCTCTGAGCCCCACCATCGAGCTGTGGCCTTGTGCTGCTTTAACACCGGTCATGTGCAAGACGTCTGGTGAGCGTAAATCAAAACTCAGTTCATAATAAAAGGCTCATGGTATACTCTGTAGGTTTGTAGCCTGTTATTTATTAAATAAAACGTAATCAATTATACAATTGTATTTCTGTGAATTAATAGAATAAAATTGAATTTAATATTTTCCTAGGACAGTTGCCCACATAGCTACAGTGTAGCCTGATAAAGCTTTGAACTCCATGCCATTTAACGCCCAACATTATCCAGAAACTATTGAAACACAAACAAGAGGCCATGCTGATGCATTTGGTGACTGTTTCTCTCTTCACAATGAACATGGCTAGTGTTGTTTATTCTGGAAATTAATCAGTCACTCACATGGTTCAGCTCTAGGTCATTGGCTTTGCATTGAAGCAATATATCAACCAATCCATCAGTACGGCTCTTTGATGTGTTGTGAGGAGACAACAGGAAATAAGCATAAGCATGTTAGGAAGTAGATTTGTTACTTTTTGAATGTTTATAGTTCATTTTGATATTTAGGGCCACATTTCCGTCAAAGTGTCAAGAGGCGGAGGACCTATTGAACATGGTAAGATTATTGTAATAATTGTATTTAGCATTTGAACACATTTTCTGGGTGCTTACGATTTTCGAAAACTCAAAAGTTTGCACGTGAGTGGCGAGTGGCGAAAATGTAGTTTTGACTACGTGGTTGGGCTTGGATGTGGCAACTTGGTGAAACCATGCCCATGACACTTTACTAAGTAAACATTCACATATACATTTTTGTAGGCATATGTAGCATGCTAATGCGTACAAAAAGCCTCATGGAACAGTACTTTTGTAATGGGATTTTAATAATAAAAAAGATCATAATAATCTCAGCAAAGATTCAGAGTGAGTATAATCAATGTATGTACCTTCTTTACAATAACCATGCATCTTGTGTGGGAAATAAACGTGTTATGGTTGTATGGGAATAGTATATACAGTATGTAGATATATTGAACCACTGGTTTTCCATTTTAACATGCAGCGAGGGAAAATAGTTTGTTTTTGAGTGCAGAGGTAGAAGGAGTGAATGTGTACCAAGGAGATTAAAGTAGGTACAAAAGAGAGAGGAATACCTCGTGTGTATATGTGCGTGTGCGTCCTTGTGTGTGCATTGAAGGATGGTGGTGAGAGTGTTGTGTTTCACAGTTTTTTGCCATGATGCACTGCTTTATTATTCTGCACAAGGGGCACTTCACATGCGGAATGGGTTCTCTTTGATATCGACAGCAGCTTGAGGGAGAGAGTGCACTCAAAAACAGGCGCGGGCGAATTTATTCTGGGAAAAAAACAGATAGTTGTGTACTTCCCTGGCAGTGGTTGCCGCACATGCGAAGAACCAACCGCTTTGATGCTCCAGCGGTGACACTCCACACGCTAATGAAATATGGTAATTACAGCGGCATGAAAGCCCTCCTAGACAGAACTGGAGAAAGGGTATAAAAAACAACAAATATGACTTTATCCAAAGATACCCACTGTGATTAATTCTCCTTTTTATAAACATATATTTTATGCCGTTCACTTGCGACAAAGCAGCGTGAGCCATCAGTTGACCCAGAAGCCGGCGAGGGGGAAAGGTCTGCTGATTAAGAACCCTATTGTTCCCTTTCAATAGAAGACGCTGTCTGCAAGAGAGCACAGGATAGAGGGGTGTGGAAAAAGAAGACCTCCGAAGAGAGAGTGCTCTAACTTAGACCTCTTTCTTTGCAGCAGCAGATCTTTTTTCCTGAAATTCACCCAAATCTAGACTGCAAAGCTGAGTCCACAGCACAAACACTTGGCTCTGTCGCACGCCACAGAAGTCCCATTTGTGGAAAAACTGGTAACTTGAAGAGTTTAAGAGGAATTCCTTATGATTAATGTTTAAACAATGGACACTTGAGAAATGTGCTTACATTTTTAAGTCAAGCTCTAAGAGTGTCAGATATTACCCAGAGAAGGAAATCACCAGTCACAAGGGAAAGACTACAATTTGATATATCTTCAGTAACTTATTTCAGAAAAAGAAATGGTAAGACTGTCAGCGGGGCAGATTTTGATGATTGGCGGGAGGTTTGTTGGAGATCAAATCAAATCAGGTTTTATTTATAAAGCACATTTTAAAACGATTTTTGGTCGAGACCAAAGTGCTGTACATGCAAATAATAAATAACACATTACTACATTCGCAAAGAACAGAAGACAATAAATTACCACAACAAATATAAAAATCCAACACAGGGAATTGTCTGTAGTCATACTCTGCTCGGACTAGAATGCCAGGGAGAAGAAGTGAGTCTTTAGTTTTGTTTTAAAAACCCCTAGAGTCTGGGCCGACCTCATATGGAGGGGCAGATGATTGAGAGTTGGGCTTGATAGTGGTCCATCTGCAGATAAAGACATAAGGGGAACCTGGAGAAGAACCAGAGCTGGCACGGAGGAAGGATGTGAAACCCAATAGAAAATCTTATCAGTATAAAACACATCTTGTTGATATCGTCACTCGTATAAAAAAAAAAGTCAACCTTGAAGAATGAATACTAAAGCGAAATCATAATAAAACCCTTTTGGTTGCCAAGTTACGTCAGACTGCAAAATCTGTTGTGATGGTTAAATACGGTAAGATATGCATTGTATCTACAGATAGGGGTCCTTTTGAAGCTAAATATTTAATTTACAAAAAAAAGGTGAAATTGTACTTGTATACTTGGCACTTAAGAACAGGTGTCGTGACACAATGGCTTCTCACTGAGGAGGAGGACGGAGAGAGAAAGGAAGGGGGTGGAGGAGGCCGTGTGTTTGACCATCAGTGTTTGCTCTCAGTCAGACAGCCAAGCAGTCCCCCATCCTGTCACACACACACACACACTTTCGCCTCGCT